GACGGAGGCTGACTGCCTAGCTGAGCCCAGGCTCAAAAGCTGGGCTGTCTGGGGTCAAGGCTCCACAATGAGATTAGCAACTTGTACCCCCTCAAGGCAGTGACTTGTCTGTGACTACCAACATCACTGAGACACCAAAGAACCATTTTCATGAAATCCATACTTTTGTCCTCTTTCTCTATCCTACGAGTGGACAGAGACTTGTAAGCACTTGGAGTTTGAATTTAACCACGCCCACTTTTAAGATCTGGGCACTTCAGGTGATGATTCTCAAAAGTGAAAGCCAGCTCTCTGGAGCCCAGCAGCAAATGCTTTTCTTCTCCTCGCCCATACTCTGTGCCCAGACCCCCAGGAAGCCCTCAGGAGAAGAGGGCTCAGCACGGGGTGCAAACTCTGAGGATCATTCACTGTGGAGACGCCACCTGATTTAATCATTTTGATGAAGGAGCCTCTTGTGCATGTGGGGTCTCGGACTCTCTCCTGTATGCGAGGTTCCCATACATACATATGTATAAAATTTGGCTACTTTCTCTTGTTAAAAGAAAAAGACTTTTGATGGACACGGTAAGCTAACATTTTTACAGTGAACGCCTTTACACATGGCCCCTGTGAGCCAGACCATCATGTTTTTCCTTGCCGAGATGGGACTGGCTTATGCAAACACTGGCTCCTGCCCTGCGCTTCCCCATGACTGCAAAGCTGACTTCCCTAGGGTGTTTCTGTCCCCTCCCTGTCAGCAGTGTCCTTTCAAACGAAGGACAAAAGCCACATTTGAGACAATTTCAGTCATTATTTCCTTGACGACGTTTTTGGTCCCGTCCTCTTCCTCCTCTTCTTCTGGGACCCACTTTCCCCCTTCACATCCAGGGCAAGGGATTTGGAGAAGAACTGACATTAGATCATTTGTTACAGTCTCACAGGTGCCCGCGGCTCTGCTCACGCTCTCCCCAGACTATCTTCTCTCTATTGTTCAGGTTGGGTAATTTCTCTTGCTCTACCTTCAACTTCGCTGTTACTTAACTCTGTTCTCTTCATTCTGCTGTTGAGCCCAATTATTGAGTTTTTAGAAGTGTCAGGTTTTTTTAAAATTTCTAGTTGTTCCTCTATATCTATTTCTTTTCTTAGCCTTTCTATTTCTTCATTTGCTTCATGTGTTCATAATATAATAGTTTCTTTATAATCCTTGCCAGATAATTCCAACATCTATGTCATCTCGGTATTAGCATCTGTTGATGGGCTTTTATTATTCAGTTTGAGAGCTCCCTGGTTCTTGCTGTGACGAGTGATTTTCAACTGAGGTCTGGACATCTGGTGGATTACGTCATGAGACCCCGGATCTCATGCCAACTTTGTGTTTCAGCAGGCGTCCTCTGACACGGCTCCAGTAGGTGAAGGGGATGCTGCCTGGTTACCCAGGTGGCAGTCCAGGTCCTTCACTCGCCTCCTCTGAGACACAGGGCTGGGCAGGACTCCTTGTTACTGCTGAGCTGGAGTGGGAGCTCAGGCTCCCCACCAGGTTTCCACCCACATCATCCTAACAAGGAGGGACACGTGGTGTCCTGCCACGTGGTGTCCTGCCACGTGGTGGTAAAAGTCCTTGTTCCTGCCACGTGGTGGTAAAAGTCCAGACTCTCCGTGTGGCCTCCACTGACACCATGGGAGGAGGGCGGGCTCACTCCTGCCCACTCTCTCCCCAAGGTGAGGGGGGATGAAAGTCCCTGCTCCCCACTCAGTTTTCTCTGATACCTCCTGGGGGCACCATGTCATAACCTGGCAAGGAAGGAAACCTAGGCTTCCCCACTTAGCTATATATGTATATTTTGGTTAATCCTCACCTGAGGATATTTTTTCCATTGGTTTTTTAGAGCAAATGGAAGGGAGGGGGACAGACTGAGAGAAACATCTATGTGAGAGAGACACATTGAAGGTTGCTTCCCACAAACATCCCGACTGAGCCCGGGGATCGAGCCTGCAACCAAGGTACATGCCATTGACTGGAATTGAACCTGCAAACCTTCAGTCCAAAGGCTGACCCTCCAACCACTGAGCCAAACCGGCCCCCACTGACTTCTGTTGCTAGGGGTGGGGGTGGGGCTGCTGTTTTATTTGTGGGGTTTGGCTGGAATAGGGTTGTTGTTGTCTAACTGTTTTCTGTCTTGCCGGGCTGTCCATTTTCTGGTCCATTGGCCAGAGAGAGCAGGCTTTTCTTCGGGAATTTTTTGTATATGTTGGTGTTGCTGGGTTGCCAGCTTCTCCAGCCTGGCTACATAGGCAAAAAGAAAGAAAGAAATCCTGGAACTCAATGCCCTGGCATTTCTTTGGTCCTGAGGTCCTTAGCCAGTCTGCCTTCATCTCTGCACCTTACAGAGTCTTTTAAGTTTGTTTTACATGCAAACTTTCAAGGTTTTGGTTGTACTGAGTGGGTATGTCTACTCCATCCTCCCGGAAGGGGAATTCTTCATCTCTCAGAAGAAAGCAAGCTGAGGAAAACATCTGATTAATTTTGCTACGATTAAAGCAAACATCCCTGACTTGTGGGCACTAGTTGCTCTTTTGCCAACATTGCAGCCCATCGTGTATCATTATTAATCATGTCCATTAATAATGCCTTTTCTGATTCATCTTTGTTCCCATCCTTATTTCCCAGGGCTCAGCATGGTGTCTGGCACAAAGATATCCAAGTTTTAATAATAATAACTACTGTTTATTAATTGCATATTATGTGCTGGGCATTTCAAATAAATATTTTGAATTTGTCAGAAAAACTCTACGAGGTAGATATTATTATTCCTATTTTACAAATGAGGAGTGTGAGGCTCAGAGAGGTTAAGGAAGGGAAACCAGACTGAGAGGGATTAGCCAGCCAAAGCCACCCAGATGTGGCAGAGGTGTGAAGGCAGGCTTGCCCCAATTCACTGCTATGGCTCCTCAGACCTCACCGTTCTTTTTTGATGATCTACAACAACTATGCCCAGGCCAGCCAGCTGCCCGAGTGGGCCAGAGGCTAGGGCCCCCACACCATTGCTTCTAAAAAAAGAGAATGTAGTCCGGGAATGCTACCTGCTATTGAAGAGTTCACCACCAGGAGAGGAAACCATACAGGGCAAAGGCGTGCATTCTAGAATGTCTAGTAATTCTGGAGAGGTGATTACAAAGTAAGAAGGCAGGTTCTAGGGCCAGGATTCCTGAGTTCAAATCCTCATCAGGCCACTTAACTCACTATGTGACTTTGGGCAATTTACTCGATTGCTCTGTGTCTCAGATTGCTCATCATTAAATGGGGACAATGATAGCAGTCCCCTACACCACAGGGTGGTGGTGAGGATTAAATGAATTGGGACACATACAGCACTCAGACCAGGGCCTGGCGCATAGGGAGTGCTCAGCACATGTTGGCTACGTATAAAAGGAAGAACATTAGAAGATGAATCAGATTTGGCTCTGCAAACAAGAGCATCCAGTCAAATGAGGGGCGGTGCCTGGGCCTCAGAGTGGCCGTTAATAACTGAGCCTGACTGTGGGGAGGGGCCTTAGAGAGGGGCATGGGGACTTCATTGCAGAGGAGACACTTGGTCCGAGTCTTGCAGGTGTGTAGAGGTAGCCGTGGGCTGGTAGAAAGCAGAAACCTAGAAGAGGCACTGGCTGGAGTGGAGCCCCAGAGACTGGAGCCTTAGGTATGAGTCTGGGATAAGGAGTCTTGCAAGAGGGGAGAGAAAGGAAGGAGGTCTGGAGGGGGGAGACCACTGTTCGCTGGGAGACCTGCCCCAGTGAGCAAGTGAAAGAGACAATTCTTTCCAGCTTTTCAGGACTTAGTCACTTCCCACCCCCACCAAGGGTGGGAACTCTTTCTCCTGCCTGGGGGGGATGTCAGACTTCTCCGTGGGCAGCTGAGCAGCCCTGGGGGATTTTCATGGCCCCTGAGACATCCAGCCAGCTGGGGATCTCATTTCCATAAGCATCAAGGTGCTCTTTTTCCACTGTTAATAAAAGATGTGTTCAGCTGACACCTGAGTGGGGATGAGGCTCTGTTGGAGTGACAGATGGTTGTGCTGCTCTGACTAACAGAGGAAGAACCCGGCCCTGAGGGAGAAGGAAGCAGAGACTCAGACAAACAAGAACCACTGCCCGGAGCAGTACCTACAGCCCAAATCATAGCCATTTAATCCAACATATTAAAAATTCACAATTCCTATATGTAACCAATATAAAATATTAATCACTTATTTCACATTCTTTTTGTATTGTCTTCAAATCCGGTGTTCATCTTGCTCCATGCATGATGATTTAAATTTAAATAAATTAATATTAAAAAATGCAGTTTCTCAGTCATACTGATGGGGAAAATAAGACATTTTGGGGGGGCTTTTTTTGGTCGCCTGGTATTCTGTAACAGCACTAACTGCTTTTCAAGTGCTCAGGAGCCACAGGTGGCTACTTTGTTAGAGCATTTCCACCCCAGAAGGTTCTGTGGGCCAGCCCTGGCCTGGAGGCACCCCAGGGAGCCATGTTCCTGCAGCTGCGTGGGAGACAATGTAATAATTTGCAGGACAGTGAGTAAGCTCTGCCAGGGCCCTTGTAAGGGCCTGTAAGGGTTTGTGCAGTCAGCATCTTTACTATGCCTGCTGGAGGCAAGCAGAGTTAAAATAAAACTGCCAAATTGTTCTACATAATAGACGGGGAGGCAGTTGACTTGAGCCATGAAGAAACTGAGGTGTGAAAGAAAGCAACCAAAGAACTTGTATGCATGTATGTATGACCCATGGACTCAGACAATGGGGTGGTGAGGGCCTGAGGTGGGGGACAGGGGTGGGCTGGAAGGGGTTGGTGGGGGGGGGGGGGGAAGGGACATATGTAATACTTTCAACAATAAAGATTTAAAAAAAGAAAGAAACTTAGGTGTGAGAGGAGCCGGGGAAAATGTCTCTATAGTTTCTGCCCCAGCCCTGTGGCAGAAACATGGAAGAAAGACTTACGGGAAATGGTAAGTATGGATGAGAGTTTTTTAGTAGAAAACCAGAAGTTAGGCAATGTGACTCCTGTTCTTATCTCAAAACTGCAGTAGACACTCAAGAATCATAAAGTGCTGGTGTGCCAGCCGTCATATGGACACCGGAGAAGTGGCTGAGTTGAAAACGGGACTTAGGAGTGTGTGTTCATGGAGCATCGTCGAAAGCTTGGCCCTGTGTTAGGCATTCGGGACACGTGAGTAGCTGAGACAGGCCCCCTCCTGCTCTCTCTCCGCAGTGTGAGTGTGCTACCCATGGAGGGGTTCTGGGTGCTTAAAACCCGAGAGGTCTGAGTCTGTTGAGATGGGGGGCGGGGGGTCGCAGAAAGCCCCCCCAAAGAAGGCGTGTCTATGTTGGGCTGCGAGGGAAGCACAGAAGCCACCAGAAGGGGTGGGTGTGAGACAGAAGGGGCAGCCAGGCACTGGAAGGGTGGGGTGCAGGCAGGAGCACCAGGATTCTGTCTCTCTGGCCTGGCCCAGCTCCTTGCTGGCCAAACAGCAGAGTCGCAGTCAACAGTCCCGGCTCACGCTGGTCTTGGCTGTAAGGGCAACTCCCCTGTCCCTCAGCACTGTGCTCATGCTGGGGACAGAGGGGGCCAAGGAGAGTGGGAGGGTGAATCCCCTTCCTGTGAAACCCCCTTGGGGCAGAGAGGAGGAAGGGCCTTGGAGCCCATCAGGAGGAGCGGAGCTTTTGGACGGTGAGAGGCCCTGGCCGACCATCTGCTCACCTGAGCTCCGTAAGCTTCTTCGCCATGGGCCAGGGCTTGTTGCGCATGTGGGTGATGAGCTTCTTCTTCTCTTCCACCTGCTCCAGGATCCTGGCCAGTTCCTCCTCAGACAGAGACTCCCCAGCAGAGGCGCTGGAGGCCAAGGAGGGTGATCTGGAGGAGAGCCAGGGTAGAGCAGAGTGAAAAGGAGGCGTGTGTGGGATCAGAGGAGCCCATAGTCAGACAGGTGGGCTGTGCACCAGACACTCGCAGCTCTGACCACCCTAGCAGGCCTGCGCCTGCTCAGAACCCCTCAGTGACTCCCGCCTCCTGTAGAAGAGGCCTGCAGCTCTGTCCTGTAGCTCAAGGCACTGGGAGGAAGGCCTCCCCAAATTCTACTTCTCCGAGTCCTCCCCACATACCAGACTCTAGCACCGTGCTGTCCAATAGAAATACAATGTGTGCCACATACTGTAATTTTAAATTTGTTAGTAGCCCCATTAAAGTGCTAAAAGGAAATGGGTAAAATTAACTTTTAATAATGCCTTTCATTTAATCCAATATATTAAAAATTATAATTTCAATATGTAATCAATATAAAAATTATTAATGAGATATTTTCCATTCTTTTTGTATTGTCTTCAAAGTTTGGTGTTCGTTTTGCGCTCACAGTGCCTGTCAATTCAGACATTAAATTTTCATTAAACATATCAGATCTGTATTTGAATTTCATAAAATTTATAATTGAAAAAAGTAGATTCATGTACCTCAATTTTTTGAGACATACTTAAAAGTTTCCCAACAAATGAAGCAAGTAGCAGAATGTCATTTTCTTTTGACATTTGCATCTGCATCGACAAAAGTTTGTCTTTTTTAAAGAAATGCTTTGGCTTTAAAGTAAAATTGATTTCAAAACTACATCTGTCTGTCCAAGTTAAGTACATTTACTAACTCTTGGGTCAGCTCTATATTAGCATCCAATTAAAATTAAATTGAATGGGACATTCAGTCCCTTGGTCACACTAGCCACATTCCCAGTGCCCAGCATGGGGCTGGCTGCTGTTGTATGGATGACACTGCTGCAGAGAGCTTTCCGCTGGGCACCCTGTCGTGTGATGACCCTCAGCCTCTCATGGACAGGACTATGTGCTCAGCTGCCACAGAATCCAGATTCTTGTGTGTGCTCCTCACCGCCTCCTTCTGTCATAAGAACAGTGATGCGCAGCTGAGTTTGATTTAATCTGATCAACTTGGTTTAATTGGATCAGAAGGTCACAGTTCGATTCCTAGTCAGGGCACATGTCCAAGTTGTGGGCTTGATCTCCCAGTAGGGGGCATGCAGGATGCAGCCAATCAATGATTCTCTCCCTCTCCCTATCTCTCTTAAATAAATAAATAAATATATATATATATATACATATATATATGTGTATATATATATATATATTTATAGATATATATATATCCCCTACTAGTCTGTGGGGAACAAAGCTGAGGCTTTTTCATCTCTCTGTGCCCTGCCATGGGCATGGATGGGTCCTGGTCTGTACCCCTTACTTTGCATCTGCCATCCAGACACTGGTGGTCCGTTTAGGATGGTGCAACTTCCCTCTAAAGTTTGGAACACTCCAAGGCCCATTGACAGTGCATTCAAGTTCTCTTTAAGTTGTTAAGGGCACTACTCATCCTTTACCCGCTTAGCTCATGTCCAGGGACAACCAGACAGTAGACAAAAGCCCTAACAGCCAAGGAGGGCTGACATGGGTGACAGGAGGAATCAGTGGCCGGTTTGAGGGCCTGAGTTCCATCTCTGTAAAGGTGGAAAGGCACCATGGACAATGACTGGGGGTGTGGGTGAAGAGGGTTTGTTGGAAACTGGGGGAAGGAGTGTCAACTTCACCATAATTCTAATACCTCCACTGTTTCAAAAGCCTCCCGCCCATTACCAACAGGGATTCTTCAAACATCTTGAGAAGTGAACAATGCAAAAAGGGGAGGCGAAGAGAGGGAGCTGTCCATTCAAAATTGGGAGCAAAACATGGAACTCAAGTTTTGACTTGTCAATTCTGTAAGCTGGTTCTGTTCATCAACCCACGTGTGCTAGCGCTAATGAACAAAGGAAACAAAACAGATGAAGCAAACCCCAAATCCTCGAACTTCAGAGCTGGTGGAACCCTTGAAGGTCTTGTAGATCAATGCTGTGTTTCACAGAAGAGGACACAGGTCCAGATCAGGGAAATGGTGTACTTAAAGGCCTCCTATGAGTCCTAAATCCAATTTTGTTCATTTCTGTCAGCTCCTCTGCAAGAGCTGTGGCGAGTCACCTGCTGGAATCGGGAGACTTGGAGTCTTGTCCTACCCTGCAGCCTCCCCTCCCCACTCGGAGCTTCCACTTGCTCTGGTGTGAGATGAGGTGTTGAGTGGCGCGTGCCCAGTGACCACTCCACCTGGATGGCCATGATTCCCCCCAGGTTCTGCCCCAGATTCGGAGAGGTGGGCAGAGGCAAGTAGAAGCAGGAGAAGAGAGCAGGGGCAGCCTGTTTGTAAAGGGGGGGGGGGTCCTCATCAGGAGAGGGAGAAAGATCAGCAGAAGAGGGAAAGCACGACTAAAAACACACCTGAATCAGTCACAACACACCTGCGTTTCTTCAGTTGCTTCCACATCTCCTTCTTCGGCACCTCCTTTTCCTTCTTTGGGGATGCTCTCTGCTCCTTAAGGGAAGCCTTCCCATTCTTCTTCTTCCTCCCCTCTCGGGTCCTCCGGGCTGTGCTCCGCTTCTGTTTCCCCAGCTCTTCTCGGTGTCTCTTGTGCTCTACTTGCTTCCTTTGGGGGGAGTCTGGCCTTGGGCTGCCCTTGGCCCACTCCTGGCCAGCAGGGCCTCCGCACCTGCCTGTCACACCCTCTGCTTTGGGGGCCGGCTTCCTGGAGGGTCTCCTCCCAGACCTGTCACCTGCAGGGGCAGGAAAGAGACAGGTCCCAGCTGTGAGAAATCAGATGTTCAAGATGCTTCTTGGAGCTTGGTAGCTCCAAAGGCCTCTTTTGGAGCCTCTGGTCTTGGGTGAAAATTGATGTCTCCCTCCTTTGACCAGCTGGCACTTCTACACACTCCTGCCTATCCTCAGGCGGAGGTCCAGGCACATGCCTTTCTTCTTTCTCGGTGTGCAGTCCCTTGGACTCAGAGCAGAATCATCTCCTGACTCCCAGGGTCAAGGCCAAGCCTGGGCCTCTGTTTGGTAAGGCTGGATCACTGAGACAGGAAGGACCCAGCTGGCTTCATTCGCCAGGGCTTTTGCCCCTCATGTGCCCCTGCCTGGCATGAAGGAAAGGATAGGAGGTGAGAGCAGCAGGCCACAGGTTCAGTCAGGAGGCAGAGGGAGAGGGGAAATGTGGGCGAGAGCCTTTGTTCTAGTTCCAGAGGGAAGGAATGGATGAGGTAGAGTAAGCAGGGTTAGGGATGGCTGGTTTGAATAATCTCAAAAAGACCCAGAATAGCCTACATAATAGTGAAGGAGGAGAACAAAATTGGTCAACAGACATTATCTAACATCAAGGTTTACTATGAAGCTATAATAAGACAGTGTGGTGTTAGTGCAAGAATAGACAAATACACTAACAGAGCAGAATAGAGAGCCAGCAAAAGACTCACATAAATGTAGCCAACTGAGCTTTGACAAAGGCAGTTCAATGGAGATAGTATGTTTCACCAGATGGTGCTGGAAAACTGGACATTGCATCACATGCAAAATAATAATAATAATAATAATAATAATAATAATAATAATGCAGACACAGATCTTATACCTTTCACAAAAATTAACTCAAAATGGATCATAGATCTAAATGTAAAATGCAACAGATAAAACTCCCCAAAGATAACAGAAGGGGATACCTAGGTGATCTTGGGTTTTGCAATGACATTTTGAATCCTAAAGCATGATGGATAAGTTAAAAGAAAAAATGGACAAGCTGGACTTCATTAAAATTAAAAAGTTCTGCTCTGCAAAATCACTGTTAAAAAATGAAAAACAACACAACAACAAAATAAAAATATAAAAAAGAAAGAAAATGAAAAGACAAGTCACAGGCTGGAAGGAAACATTTGCAAAACGCATATCTGAAAAGAATTGGTATCTAAAGTCTACAAAGGCCTATTAAAACTCCACAATAAGAAAATAGCTCAATTTAAAAATGTGCAATGGATCTCAACAGGTACCTCTCCAAAGAAATACACAGATGGCAGATAGGTATAAAAAAGAAGCCAACATCATATGTCTTCAGGGAACTATGAATTAAACCAAGAATGACTTGTTAGATGACTAACAACATGAATTGCTAGTGAGGATGTGGAGTAACAGGAACTCTCATTTATTGCTAGCAGGAATGCAAAATGTTACAGCCGCTTTGGAAAACAATTTGGCAGTCTCTTACAATGCTAAACACAGGTTTCCCCTAGAATTCAGCAGTCACACTTGTAGGGGTTTATCCAAATGAACTGAAAACTTAGGTCCACATAAAAACCTGCACACAAATGTTTACAGCAGCTTTACGTATAATTGCCAAAAACTGGAGGCAAACAAGACGTCCTTTAATAAGCGAATGGAAAGGTAAACTGTGGTGCATCTAGACAACAGAATATTATTCAGTGATCAAATGAGCTATGGAGCCCTGAAAAGACATAGAGGGACCGACCTTAAATGCATATTCTTTTTTTTATATATATATATTTTATTTATTTATTTTTTTACAGAGAGGAAGGGAGAGGGATAGAGAGTTAGAAACATCAATGAAAGAGAAACATCCATCAGTTGCCTCCTGCACACCCCCTACTGGGGATGTGCCCGCAACCAAGGTACACGCCCTTGACCAGAATGGAACCTGGGACCCTTCAGTCCGCAGGCTGACACTCTATCCGCTGAGCCAAACCGGTTAGGGCTAAATGCATATTCTTAAGTGAAAGAAGACAGTCTGAAAAGGCTATGAACTATTTGACCCCAACTATGTGACGTCTGGGAAAGGCAAAACTATAGAGACAGTGCCCTGGCTGGTGTGGCTCAGCTGGTTGGAGCATCATCCCACACACCAAAAGGTGGCAGGTTTGTGGGTTCGATTCCCGTTAGGGCGCATACCCAGGTTGTGGGTATCTCCGATGGGAGTACATACGGGAGGCAACTGATCGATGTTTCTTTCTCACATGGATGTTTTTTTTCTCTCTCCCTTTCTCTCTTCCGTCCTCTCTCAAATCAATAAGAAAAAAGCATGTCCTTGGGTGAGGATTTAAAAAATATTTTTAAAAACACCCATGGAGACAATAAAAAGATCAGTGGTTGCCAGGAGTGGAGGGGGAGGGGAGAAGGGATGCTAGGTGGAGCACAGAGCATCTTTTTCAGGGTGTACTAGTCTGTGTGATGTTGTAATGGTGGATGCATGGCATTATGCATTTGTCAAAATTTGTACAGACAACACAAAGAGTGACTCCTAATGTAAACTGTGGACTTTAGCTAATAATAAGGTATTAATATTGCTTCATCAGTTGTAACAAATGCACCACACTGATGCAAGATGCTAAAAATAGGGGAATCTGGGTGGCGGGGGAGGGGGGGGGCGGGAAGGAAAGAAGATTGTATATGGGGGCTCTTTCTGTTTTCTCTGCACCTTTTCTGTGCATCTGGAACTGATCCGCTCAGGCTGAAGAGTGACCACAAGGTGAGA